GAATTAAGATTAAAGCGCTTGGGGCTCTTAAGCTTGGAGAAATGACAGCTGAGGGGTGACATGACCGAGGTTTATAAGATTATGCATGGGATAGAGCAGGTCGAGAAAGAAGTACTTTTCTCCCTTTCTCACAATACAAGAACTCGTGGGCACACCATGAAATTGCTGAGCGATCGGATTAGAACAGATAAAAGGAAGTACTTCTTCATCCAAAGAGTGATTAACACATGGAATTCACTGCCACAGGAGGTGGTGGCGGCTACAAGAATGGACAGCTTCAAGAGGGAACTGGATAAACATATGGAGCAGAGGTCCATCAGTGGCTATTAGCCAGAAGGTATAGATAGGAACTCACAGGCTGGGACAGGTGATGCACTGTATTCTTGGTGCTTGGGGGGGGCAACAGTGGGAGGGCTTCTACTGTCCTGGCCCCACTGATGGACCTCCTGATGGCATCTGGTATTTTTGGCCACTGTGTGACAGAGTGTTGGACTAGATGGGCCATTGGCCTGATCCAACATTGGCTTCTCTTATGTTCTTATGTCTTCATCGAATTCAGTTTCAGTTGACTCAGTCTAAGCCAACCAGCCACAGCTTGTAATGCCTGGTCCAGATCTTACCGTGTAGAGCCAGAGTGGCCGCCCAACAGCAGATAGAGCTGGGTGTCATCCGCATATGTAGACTTCCTTGAATATTTGTATAAATGTTAACAGGGAAATAAGGAGACTGCATACCTTGAGTGGCTGTCAAAGCCAGTGCACTTGGATCAATAGCCAGTTGGTCTCCTTGAGCTTCTAACCTGATAGTTTCTCTTTTGGAAATTTGTTCTTCATTAATTAGTTGTGTTTGAATCACTAAAATCAGAAGAGAATGGACCTGAGCTGCTGAATAAGCATCACTACTATAAATCTTACAAGTTAATGAGTATATCCTGCGATAAATACAGTGTTTCTGATTTGTTACTACAGACAAGTAGCATTTCTATTGGAGATATAATTAATTTACAATATTTATATTTTGCTTTTCATTTTAAAAACCAGAATGATGGCGAACCAACCAACCATATTTTTTTTAAAAATCAATAAAATTGCGATATAAAATTCTGAAGCAGCACCAGCAGTGCTAACATATAGCAAAAGGCACCATCTGTTAAAAGTTCAGGAGAATACAATTATTTTAACCTGGCACCAGAATTTAGTGTCTTACATCCAAAGTTGCCCACACAGAACTCGGTGAAAATGTAACCAACTGCAGCCCACACGGCACAATGTGGGTTTTGCAGTAGGGAAGGGGAATTGGTGAAAATCGCTCACCTTCTCAAATGGGAGAAGTGTCCAATTCCTGATAGAAAACAAGGTTTGGATTCAAGCAAGCAATAGATTTGGTGTCAGGAGGACAGTCTAACACTGGGATGTCACTGCAGAGAAGGCAATCTGTCTGGTCATCCCTACATAACTTCTGAAGTCAGGGGCATCTGCTGGATGTGATCCCCTACAGATGTTTTCAGAAAGTTTGTATAGGAGCAAGTGGTCCTTCAGAAATATTGTGTTTTTCCAACATTCAAATGGCTGCGAAGATCACTGAGAAAATGTCATTTCCCTGCAGTTATTAAGTACTCTTACTACCTTTACTTTACTTTATTATTATCAGCCGCCCTGAGCCTGCTTTGCGGGGAGGGCAGGGTATAAATCTGACAAATAAATAAATAAATAAATAAATAAATATTACTGTGGTCACTAGACCAGCCATATATATCTAGTAATAATTTTAAAAAATTTACACACACAATGCAGAATATATAAGATAAAAAGATGAAAATTTGGAACCTGATTAAAATACGATTTCCATAATCTAAGTATCAATACACAAAACCTAGCTACTTGATAAGTGATCTTTTTATTCTTATCAGATACAAGGCGATTGATCCTGGCTTTATTTGTGCAACTGGAAATCTTATCCAGCAATGGGGTAATGAGCAACTAAAGAACATATGCTCAATGGACTCGACCTCCCTTAATGGGCATATACATAACCTTTCTAGGTAGGGGATTTTCTTATACCTGCCTTCAAGCAGTGCAGAGGGGAGTGTGGAACTCCTTGCCAAGGTGAACGCCTTTCTAAAACTGTTTACTTCCAAAGAAGCCAGATAAGCTAGCAGTGCAACAGTATTTTTGACATTTGACAGCGCAATAAGGTTTGGTGCACTGGAAATGTCAGATTGGTGTTCTGTATCTTCAATTCTCTCTTTAATTAACCTTTTTGCTTGTTCAAATCTGCAAGATAAGAGTACCTGGGGAGAGAATCCAGTTCTGTTGATATGACTTTGAACAGCCTTGAGCCAATTAGATTGATAATGATCTTGGTGTATCAAAGGGAACAGGCCTTGAGGGTTGAGATGACCTTTTAACCACATGTAGATGGATAGGATATGCATCCTGGCTTTGACCCTTATAATACCTCTCTCAAGTCTTATCCATTGGATACACATCTAGGGACTTGTAAAACAGCTCTTAAAAACTTTGATAGTACTCTTTCTTGTGGGGCAAAACATGAGATAGGCATCCTGAGAATGTTCCATATAGCAGTAATGTCAAAGTTTTGGCCTTATATAATTTAAGGGCTGCAGGAACAAATGCCCCCATGAAGTCGAAGAAATCTCACTATGGTATTTTCCGATCTTTCTCCTTGATCAGTGACATACTTGCTATGATTAACCCCAGAGCCTGAAACCTGTGAAACTACACCAAGATATTTGAAACTATTGACTTGCTCAATCCAATGGCCATTAATCGCCCAAGTCCTAGGCTTTGGACTGGTACTCTTACTACTGGTATTTATATCCTGCTTTTCTTTCCCAGATGAGGGGGAGAAAAGACAAGATAGCTAACAAAAAAAGGCAAATTAAAATTCTCAAAAAATTAAATAAATACAGTAAAATACAGAGTAAAAAAACCCAAAATTAATCAAAGGCATATTTAAATGAGAATATGTCTCTTTAAAAATACGCTTCTAGAAAACTGTAATGTTGATTTCTGAAGATTATTAAAATATGCTCTAGGCCACACAGCTACTATTTGAAAACTCAAACTGGGTTCAAGAATGCTCTCAGACTATGAATGCGCTTGGTGGGCAAGCAGGGCTCCATGCAACACAGCCAACCTCACTTCCCTTGGTCATTTGGGCAAAACCCCATTACTTCGAACCTATCTATATGAAGTTTCAGGCTATTAATTCTCATTCAGCCTACCACTGCCTCCACTGATTCAGAAATCTGATACAGCTTTACAAAAGTTAGCACAGAACACCTCATTCCAAGCTTTCATACAATCTCACACACTGGCTTTATATAGAAGGTAAACCATACTTGTGATACCCAACAGGATAACTTCCAAGAGTTAGATGAAGAACAACTTAACAGTTCTTTCTGAGAGAGCTAGAAAAGCATCTACACTTGGATATGATCTGATGATTTATGGGTATCAAAAGCCACTGAATCATCTTGCAAAATTAATAGGGTCATGTTTCTCCAGTCCACTTCTGTATGCAAATTGTCCACCAAAGCTTCCACAATAGAATCCTGTGTTGGTTGGTTTGCTTGTTTGTTGATTTGTAGCCCTCCCCCCTTGCATAGCAATGCTCAGGGCAGGTAACATCAGGTACCGACAGTACAATAATAAATTAAACATTAAAACCCAATTTAAAACAATGATAAATAACTACAGTATATATCTAGTCAATCAGCTGGCAGCACACAGTTTGGCGCAACTAGGTGTGTCATCTTCTCAAAGAAGATTGTACTTCAGATGTGTCCATGGATGTTGTGATGGTACTATAGCAGATGAACCGCCAAGCAGAGCAACAAAGCAAGGCAGGGCAGGGGAGGCCAATACAGATGAAATTACCACCACTTCAACCATAGACCTGTGAAATGTCTCTGTTTTGCAGGCCCTGCAGAACTGAATCAGGTTGAAGGTGATGCACCTTTGGGCACAGTTGCTGCCTGCTTTTAGGAGCATGCCTGATTCTGCTAGGCTCTGCTTATATAAACAAAGATTACTTGAAACAAGCCTGAGCAGTATAGAGACCTCTCAAAAGAATCTTCAAGAGTTGCTTTAGATCAAGCCAGAGAATCTTGTTAAAACCTTTCAAAAGCAGAATGAGAGCCTGGAGTCTTCATGTGAGTTGGTGGCAGCCATGCTAGTACAGGAGCTGTAGGGTGCAAAGATGACCCCATCTACAAAGGTGCTGGTCAGAACATTCTCAGGAAATCGACAGACTGGATGAGCAGCTGATCTAGTTGGAATTGCTTGTACAGGAGTTGATCTTATACTGAGGCAGAAAAGTTCATAATTTGCAGAATTTTGCATTACTCCCACAGTAATGGGCTACCTCTGTTAGATTCAGGTGAGTAACCATGTTGGTCTGAAGCAGCAGAACAAAGTTTGAGTCCAGTTGGCACCTTTAAGATGAGCAAAGTTTTAGTCAAGGTATAGGCTTTCCTGTGCATGCACTCTTCTTCAGATACAGTTGTATGCCAGGTAGAGGCCGGGGCCCTTCCACTAAGGGCTTCGTAGGGTGTAGATCGAGTAAAAAGTCTATAAAAAGTTTCCCACTCTCCCATCACTCTAGAGTCTAACTAGTCTCCTTCATGTACTTCCAGTCATCTATTAATTTAAGAATTTCTTACTCTGCAGACTCAGATCCAGTCAGATTCTGCAGAACTTCCTGACCCTTGTACATTTGCCCAGTTTCTTCGGTGTCCTTAGCCTTCCAGTAAACCACAGTTTCTGGTGCTTAAATCACTAGAATGGACACTTATAAGTTACAGTCTTAATTACAACCAGCAACTTTCCACTGAAGAGATCAACTAGACAGTGATCAAGTAAGTTATTCGTGTAAAGGGAATGTTTCCTGAAGGAGTTTTGGGAACTACACTGTAATGTATCCGTATTGCCACGTGCGCGACCGTTGGGCCATGCGGTCGCGCACAAGTCCCAAGCTTCGTTCCGGGAGAACAATAGCAGAGCGGATCCTAGCCCGCACCAACCAGAGGGAAGGAAGCAGCGGCCTACGAAACGGCGCATCCAGACCGTATCCAGGTCCATCGCACCCAGACCCAGGCGGAGTCGGCCGACTCTGAGGAGGACGAGGTGCAGCAACTTCAGCGCAAAACCTCGCAGCTGCACCGATCCAAGGTGGCCCAGCCGGCGAGGTCTTCGGAGTTCAACCTACCCTGTGCGAGCTGCGGAGAATCGCATGAGCGCCGGACCTGCCGTTTCCGGGACGCCGTCTGCCGGGCTTGCAGCAAACAGGGACACATTGCCAAGGTTTGCCGCGGCCGCCACCAGCAAGGAAAGAGGTCAGCACATCTGACTGAGCCCATCCACACCGTGGATCTGCACTCCATCGACCTCCACACAGTCTCCAAAAAGCCCCAGCCCCAGGTAGGTGAAATGCTCCGAGACGGCCGAAACAAAATCCACGTTTCGGTCCGTATAGAGGGGTCCCCCTGTAGCATGGAACTCGATACCGGCTCCGAGTTCACCATAATCTCACACCCTGCGGAGGCTCTGTCCAGGGGGGGGGCCCTCTGCGGAAGCCACACTTTAAACTGCAGGATTTTAATAAGAATCCGGTGGCTATACGGGGCTGGGGCAAATTCAAGGTGGAGTTTCAGGACTTTAATGGATTCTTGGACATATTGGTGGGG